CAGGACACACTAACTCAGAACAACCAAATCCACTGTTCCTCGTGTGGAACTAAACAAGATGCTGAAGTAAAGGGCACTATAACCAAGGCACCGCAGATCATTATTTTTCACCTGAAGAGGTACAGTCTATATGGGGTAGGACATGGCTGTTTCCTGGGATTTGAGAGACATGAAGGACAGTCACTTGCATTTGCAAAAAAGGGGAAAAAAAAAATCACTGCAAATAGGTGTTTTTAGTGCTTTTGATACCTGGCAGCTAAATGGGCGGTTACAGAAATACACCTGTCAAACATGCAAGTTGCATTCCTGAAATCTCAGACAATGCATTCTGCCTTACTCTATACTGCAGTCCACCGAATTTCACTCACTACATTTGGGATCCCTACTCCAAAGTGAAGAATAACTCCACCAAGGAGTTATTGGTGACTGACTACAGCTTAGTACAGTGGTCCGGTGGTCAGACATCCCTGCGAATACAAGTTTCTGGGGCAAGTGGGAAAGCTCATGAGTTGGGTTCCAAGTACGGGACTGAAACAGGGTGTTTCGCTCGTCGTTCTTACAGCTGAGACACGGTATTTTTTTTATCCCTTAACTAAATCAGGTTTAAGCAGCTGGGTCTGCCGAACAGAGCAGTGCATCAGCGTCAGAGCTCCTGACGAGCAGATTTAATAGCCACGTGTGGCCAGATGCTATATTTATTCTTGAGAATTTATTCTTAATAACATCTCACCTATAAAGAAAATTACTCTGGGATGATGTGGCTTTCCAGAATTACACTAGGTAAAGTTATTAATTTCCCATTCAGCATCTGCTTTCCTTGACATACTCAAATGAACTTGTGGTCCCCAGCTGCACCCTCGGCCACACTATAAAAGTTTGGAAGTACAGTGTGGTACTAAAAGTTACAGAGGAAAGAGGGATAGAGCCTGGCATGAAATAAGAGCCGAGAACAGTGCAGTTCAAAACATTTAGGACAAACTGACAGTGATGCAGAGATTTGACTTCTGCCATTTCTAATAGACAGAAGGATGAGGAAGAAAAAAATCTTTGCTTTTCTTGCTGGACATCTCTTGTGGGTTTAGTCAGTTTAGTTTTCTGTCAGTTTACAGTAGTACTCAATATTAATACAGATCTTTGTATTTCAAAATGCTGAGTAGTCATTTGTTGTTTTTCCCTTCCTCATGGAAAGTCAGTTAAGCAACAATACAAGAAAGAAGTTAAGTGTTATTTAAAATAGTTCAAAATTTTGTTTCAGGTTTGAATGGCAAGGCAGGCACAGAAGGAAACTGTCTACTGACATCTGCTATCCGCTCAGCAATCTGGATCTCTCTCCATACAGTTCCCCACCTTTCTGCACGGAGGCAGCGTACAGCCTGTGTGCTGTAGTGGTGAGCTTTGCCTTTCCTCCTTCCGTTTGTAACACCCTGCCTCAGCGAGCAGATGAAGCCTGTGTTGGTTTGGGCTTGATCACAGCAACAGCCATCGCTGTTCCAGGCCCTTAAAAATTGCAGTTGGAGCATGCGAGTGTGCACGGTTCCTCTTTGCTTCACTAACAATGTGCGAATAACAAGGTTTTTATACGTATGATTTATGTTATATGTATTGTTTTTCATGGGTTTTTTTACCTGCCATTGACATAATCCCATAACAGTATGTAACCAGAGAAGTTATCACTTTCTCCTTCTCCCTTTCACATTCCAATTTTAAAAAGCATGTGCTCCTAGCACATAATGCCTGGTTGGAGCCTCCTCAGCCTTTTCAGCATGAACTCACAAGCTGATCCTGCATGGATCCTGTCTACAAATAAGGACTAAATGGTCTCTTTTTCCATCACTGGCTACTAAGGGGCCTGCTTGACCTGCATCAGGGCCAATAGCTGGGTTGCCAATTTAGTAGTTGCACAATAGAAAAGCACAATCCTCATCTATTTGCTCTGTTTTAAAAGCACTTATTTGAATTAATAATCCTCACTGTAGGCCAAAGGGGGCTAGAATCTTCTCACTCATCTTTCCCAAGTGTAAAAAAAAAAAAAAGAAAAAAGACTGCCAATGCCTAGCTTTGCCTGTGAGGAGAAAGAGGGAGCCTTCTGTTTTGACAGACTGTGGTGTTTGTTACAGAACCACTGTGGTTTTCTGGATGATGGGCACTACACGGCATTCTGCAAGCACTCAGTCACCAAAACCTGGTACAGCTTTGATGACGCACAGCTCACCAGCATCCCAGACTCCTCAGTGCAGAGCAACAAAGCTTACCTCCTGTTCTACGCCTGTCAAGACCTGCCCTACAGTCAATAAAAATCTGCTAGCCATGGAAAATGTACAGTGAGCAGGCCGGCAATTAGAATTCATCGGCAGCATTAACCAAGTCCTGTTTCATCAATAAACTAGAGCACCTGTATTACCTGATCATGTGTCGTGGTCCTCTAGATGTGACCTCTAGAGAGAAGAGTTACAGCTTCCAAGCCCGTTCAGGAACGTGCATCTGCTCCATTTATGTGAGGTCTAATGGCTGGAGGGATGTACGAGGTTTGTCACAGAAAACAACCACCACAAATGCTGAGTGTATAGATGCACTTAGCTGAAAAATCCATTTCTCTGTTGGTTCAGTAAACTGTATTGTTTTAAGCTGCCTTTCAGAAACTGACAGGAGGATACTAAGGTGAAGCACACAACCAGGCCACTGAGGGTACACCTTTCAGAAGACAGCAGGGGACGAGTGACAATTAACATCAGAAAGAAAAACAGGCATTATTCTAGTACTGTCACTTTTGTGTCTCTAGCACTACACATTCGCTTGCAGCTTGTAACCTTCTGGAAAACAATCAATCTTGGTCTTAATTCCATCAGCAAGACACATGCATGTAGACATATAAAATCTCAGAATGTAGGATTTAAGAGTTTTGAATGCCAACCTAATTAGAGAGGAAAAACTAACCGATATCCAGAGCAGGGAAATGCACAAGGTGCAACTAAAATAGTTTAGAAACTAATCAGTTCTATGCAAAGTAGATTTTTTTTCATCTGCAGAACCTTTAAACTGTGTGAATATGATTCAGACTGTCATTATGTAGAATCCTGACCATTACACAACTCCTTGAGAATGAAAACACCAAACCCAAACATACATTTAACAGGATATATTTTTAAATCATTTCTTCATTAAGGTTTTTAATGCATGTGTACATGAAAATTTATATTAAAAAATTAAAAAGGAAAATCTTGTTTGTTTAGAATAACTCTGAAGTGCACAAATATTGACAAAAGCTAACAAAAAAAAAATACAGCTCTGCTTTTTTATTAAGTAGTGTTGCAATTACTTGGAGCTGGCAAATAAACACAATCCTCTGAGTTTTAGAGATTCTCACAAAAAGGACAACATTTTATTATATACATAGTTCTGATGTGCAAGTATGCAATCAATATTTACACTTACATTCCTAACTGTTTACATCATTCTAGAGTATTCACAGTAGAATCAAGCTTAAGGTTAGAAATGTGAAAAGGCCATAACAGTGAAAGAAAAAAAAAAATAAAAAAAGTCAAGATATGCCTTGGGATTTTAAGATGTTTTTAACTACTTGTTAATAGATTTCAGATGACTAAGCTAGAATTTAATTTTGGAGCAGACTAAAAATATAGTTTTTTTTAAATAAATGGTAATGCAAGTATGCTTTTTAAATGGTTTCACAGATGGCAGTATTACCACAAGCATTATTAATCAGTCTTCTGATTTTTAAGCGCTAGTACTGACCAGAAAGAGCTTGCTTGCAGAAAAGCTGCTGCAACCATCTCCATATCTGTGACTATTTTTGTCATAGTTTTGCATATTTATATGCATTCCCATACCTACTTTGCTCTTATAAAAAGAAAAACCAGTTTTCTTAACCCACACTACTTTATGTGGCCATATCCACTGCTCGCTGTTCGTAAGAAGTGTAAAAGAGAATATATGCAGCTGAGGATTTCACAGATGATGCTGAGATCTCCGATACCTCATGGTCGTCAAACTTAAACCAGCGTTGTTTGGAAGCATTTTTGCAGTAGGCTGTGTAGTGCCCTCCATCCAACCCGCCATAGTGATTCTGTAAACATAAGAAAAGAATTAATGGCCTTGAAAGCTGCCATTTCTTTCCTGATTAGGGAAATAAACTACATTGTGAGATTTTTACTAAATATCAATCATTCTTTTTAGAATATAACTTAATCTGCAACCAAGTAGGCAGCCTGGAAACCTCGCTGATTCACAGAGGCTAGCCCAAGTCCTGGCACAAAGACCAGCTGAACTTTGAAGCTGAGGTGGTTACTTACTGATACTGAAAACAGATTGTATCTCTTCACGTTACTCTTTGGACCAATAACATACTGTGAAAGGTCAAGAGTTTCCAATGGGAAATCTACAGAAGTCTGAAGCTTCTGCTTCCATCTTCCATCATAGGAAAATCTAGAGAATGAAAAAGCATCATTAAAAGTTACAGGCTGTTCACAAGCTATTTAAGATGTTTTTAACCAGGACATGATCTCAACTAAAGCATTTGACCTGCAAATCTGTTAATGCTTGCACATGTGTTTACCACAAACGAAATTAGATTACTTGTAAAAGTGCTTTGTGAACTGCAGCCTAATAACAGAGGAATCAGATGAAAATAAAATTCTTGCAAAGTTACAACTGGAAATACATCTGGAACTTTCTCTAAATGAAAATGGTTCACTACTGCACTGGAACAATCAATCTCTATCAAAGCCTGGTCACTTCCTAATTTTCACTGGTTACTGTTTCTCTTACCGTTTCAAGTGCACAAGAAGAACAGGTGGTAATTTCCAAATTTCTATTTTTTTCAAAGAATCCCTTCGAGTTTTGCAATGGCTACAGTAAAACCTATTGTTATCAGTGAGCTTTTCCTCTTTGGAGAACAATCTAAGGCATTCCTAAAACAAAACACAAACACGGATTGTGAAGGACGGGTGTTTATGAAAGTATAGCAAAACTGTTTGTTTCCTATTTGGTTGTTAACCTGCATTAATTATCTGCATGCTATGTCTCACAAAGATGAGGAAAAGTGAGTTAAATTCATGTGTGGAAGTAAATTTTACTGCAGATATTAATTAGCTGCAAGCCCTTCAAAATATACCTACAATATTTTGTTTAAAAACCACAAAACATTTATACTATTGTCTACAAAAGCAAATACAATACATGTCTTTTCTGCTACTGCAGCTTCAGTATTTCCATCCTGCTTGTACTTTAAAACTTTTAAGGAATGACCTATTTTTTTAAACTTTAGAAGAATTAAAAAAATAATGAAGACTCTAGAACTGTTCATGTTTCAGGTTAGTGTAAATTAAGCTGGAATATTGACCAACCCCTTCAACAAGAGGCTGAGCAGAAGCAACATCACAATGAAGTCAGAGAAATGTTTTTACTTCAAGAACTGTCTCTCCAGTGCCAGCGTACCTGCAGCGTGCATTTACTAGTGGATGCAAGCGGTAAGGACAAATACATGAAAGCCTCAAAGGTCCGTGACTTCTTGTGGCACGTGAGACACTGCACTGTCGATTTGAACTGGCCTTGAAAGAGTGCCACAATGATGGATTCGTTGAGCTGTTTGTGTTTGTGCCAGGCGAGTTCTGCTGCTCTGAAGTCATCCAGGTGATCGTTGTTTTCTTCCTTGTATCTTTTCCTGTTGTCAGCCTGCATTACAGAAGTTTAAATACCATAGCCATATATTAACATATAGAAAAACAGAAATACTATTGAATGTTTGCAAGCATTTTTAAACATGCCACTGTAGCCATTCATTTCTCACCTAGGTAGGTGTCTTCTGTTACTCCCTTCAGCACCTTATACTGTTTCAAACTAAATTCCTACTTTAGTTCTGAATACCTGTGTTTCCTTCTATACTGGGTTTCAGTAACATAATCTTCTTATGAAATAAGAGGGTCTTTTTAAAATTTATTTCTCATGATCACCTGACAAATGTACAATTTGGTACAAGTGTTATTGCTTACTTTATTTAGGTCTTCATGCAAGCCATCCATTAGAAAGAGGAGCAATTCTTGGGAGTCCTGTTGGCTATATCCTGCAAATTGGTCATTAATTTTCCCAATTGTAATTTTAAAGTCTTTTGGACTGATATATTTATACTGTCCTGTCCATAAAGCTTTCATTATCACACCGAACTCTTCAGCCACTTCACCTTTATGCCCCAGGAAATTTGACCTATGTAATTAAACAGACAAAAAAATACAGTGAGCCCTTCAAGTAACTTTATTGTTTTTATTATTATTGTTATTAATTCAAGATGTTATCCCAATTTCAAAGTAATCTCTTTAGACCAAGAAAAACTGACTGTTATTAGACTGAGTTAAAATTTTTGTGTACTTTGGCACTGTAATTTGGTTCCACATTCAAGACTGGGCTGATGGAAGGTACGGCTGTTTCCAGCTTGTTTTGTAAACTGCTATTTAAATACTCTGTTTGGTTTTGGGAGACTCTAGTACACCTATATTTATGAATGTGGTAAGCACAGTTTAATTAAGACTGTCCAGCAAAATCTATTTTGTCACACACGCAAATTTTTAAAATGTCTCCTACCTAAAATAACCAAACCACCTCCCTCTTTAACCCCACTAAGTGATTTTTTTGAATTAACAATTGTAAAGGCAGATATTTTTCCTTCAATTACAAATTAAAGGATGAGAGTAAGAGATTGTTACCTGTTAATATCATCTTGATACAAGTTTCTGTTAAAATAATCAGCCAGGTGAGGTGCATTGCACAGACACTGTAATATGGAATTCATATAGCAAGTGTTCCCTAGATTACGAAGTCCTGTAAGAGCTGGTCCCGATCCTCCAAACACAGGATTAAGATTCCGAATTTGTGATGCAGAGAGTCTTGAAATTTCTGCTTTAGTGTAACAGACTGGTCTGTAAGGAAGAAATTTTTTTTTTAGGAGTCTCAGACTTGACAAGGCTGTGCACATAAGCCAACAGAACCACCCTCCCTCACAGAGAATGAAATATCCTGGCACAAGATGTCACCAAATGCCATAACTTAAAGCATTCCAGACCAGTCAAAGCAATAGTAAGAAAGCCATATACACTGGCCTATAATATGGCTGAGTTACAGGCTCCATCAGGTTTTGTTGTGTTTTTTTTTAAAATCACAGATTATGAATTAGCTGTTGATTTAACCCAATTTAAAAAATGAAAACTCTGCATTTCACAAGTCATTGGAAGACCGGCATACGTTAACACAAATACCACCACTTAAAAAGCAACTATTGTCCAATTAC